TTATCCATTGATTTAGAATACAAATTTGAAAGTATTGTAAGTATTTTTGAACCGTTTAAAAAAATTTTATCTTTAAAATTCATACATGATGGAGTTTTAATATTTTTCTTTTTTATGCTATGATTATGTTTGCTTTTCATATTTCAATAGAATAGTAATATTTTATTTCAAAACATAGCACTTTTAAAAGTTTCCCTGAAAGTGCATTTCTACCTATTTGAAGGGGGAAAAAAAATCACCTTAAAAAGAAAAATCCTTTAAAATAGCCCAAATTACCAACCAGATAATGTCTGTATAAAAGAAGCCTCTAATAGCTACATTTGTTATTACAGAGGTTCTTTTGCTGGGGTTGAAAAAATAAAACACTATTACAACCACTGGCACAAAGTCAATGCCCTCTGAAGACTGCTCAGCTCAGGAACAAGCTGAAGTCACTGTGATGAAATCGCAGTGAGGAAATAAGGACAAAAAAGCCTTCAGCTCCCTCTCTACTGGTAACAGTAAATGTTATTTATTTTGGGGTTTAGCTCAAATAACTACTTTTTGAAAAGATTTCCCTTCAGTGTCGTTAATTACGGTAACTACTCCTCTAACCATTATTCTGGTTATAAGAATCATTCCTGCCACCAAAATAAACTGTTACTTAATTGGGCAGTGAACAAATCACAGCACTATACACTCTTTTAGCAGCTGGACAGCAAAGAAGTGATATGGTTGCAACCATGTGTGCCTAATACTTTATCAATCTCACACACAGCAGCGAGCGTCCTCATAAAGCAGAAAGGATGCAAGAGTGGATTAGGAAAAGCTGTTAAGCAAATTGTTGCTCTGTACCTTGTCCTGTAGACTTACAGCATTTGGAGATGTATCTGAGCCATTTGGCTGAGGAACCATTACTCTGTTACTCCATTGCTCCACACAGATCAGCTATGCAAGTCCTTTCTGTAGCTATCTTCCCTGGACACTGCGTGATCTCTGCTTTCTAACAAAGTCATACTGAATCTTCCTGGTTTTATTTTTATAATCACTATTTTTATTTTGAATTAACTTTGAATTGTGTGAAAATAAAAGAGAGATGCGATCTCTTTACCCTCAGCCTATCTTTGAGATTCATCAGGGTTTCAGCCAAACAGTGGAGGCGTTCCTTGCAAACCAGCACAGACGGCCCTAAAAGCACTGTGTTCACACTTCTGAGAAAAACAGCCTCCCCTGCACCGCTCCTTCGCTCCCCGCTGTGAGCAGAGCCGGGGGCAGGACCCTGCCTCTGGTGGAGCAGCAGCTCAGCCTGGCCAGCCTGGCCCACTTCTCAGGTCGTGCACCACTTCCAGCTCATAGTTTCCCAAGCCACAGCCAAATCTTGAAGCAATACAAAGACCTTCTGTACCATGTCGGTATTTATGTACGAGATGAGGTGAGGGAAGGGGGGTTAAAGCTGCCTGTTCCTAGAGCAGTCTTACTCCTCCTGCAGGATGAGGCTTACGGAGAACCTGAGGGCACATCAGCCCAGCCTGATGCCTTTCCACAGTGTCATGCACCAACGTGTTAGTCCAGGTCTTAGAGGATCAGTGTCTTCACAAAAATACTACATGCTCACAGACAATATTCATTGTCAGTTCCATCGAGATGGACAAAGCCTGGCTAGAGAGTGGACTCAGTCACAATATAACGGTATGTCAAAGATATCTGAGCTGCTACTGCCTTTGCTGAACCCCTCTAACACAACTGAGGGCTGGATCCTTTCAGAGCTTCATGATTTGGTACATTTTGTTAGCAGTTGTTTTTTCTTCCCCATTGAAACAGAGAGAGATGGAAGGAACAATGCAAAAATAAATGTCTGTGGGGGATAAAATATAGGATAGACACACACAATATTCACAATTATTTGAATAACATGGATATTTAATATTCGGGCCGCAACCACTGGTTACAAATTCCTGTTTGGGAAAAAAAAAGGCCAGTATAAAAAGCACAATATTTTGAATATTTTGAAATATTTTTCCTTCTAATCCCCCTATCTCCAAATTATTGCCTGTTTCATCCAGAAAATCTATTTCTGGCCTTCCTAGCCTTTATACAAACTTCTCTTTTTACCATGTTTGTCTTGCCTCTTTCTATTATTAAAGCTACAGGCACTTGACAGTTATTTTTAGCAAAATTTATGTATTTAGGGTTATGATTTAAACACAAGTACTTTAGTGGCAATTTTTCAAAGGCAATAACTTGCCACTAAGATATTGTATACATTGATTGTCTGACAGTAAACATTTTGAATCTTAGACTATTAGCACAAGACAACCATAAAAACCTGATGCTTTCATTGTTCTGCAAAAATTGTTTCATCTTACCAAGACTATTACACATACCCAGCAGATTTCAACTCAGTCAAAAGACTAAAAATGCCCAATTAGCTTAAGAAAAACTTTTTTCCGAGTATATACTGATATGATTTCTACAAAGGCTATACCATTATGTCACAATAAGGAATAGCATCGAATATGTATTTATGAAGAATTTTTTTCTGAAACACTTTAAATCCATTATTACCTTCGAGACAAACATTCATGTATTGTTCCACAAAATTCTCACACTGTATGCCAGTTTAGAAAGTAACGCATCCCACAAATGAAGGCAGTAAAAAATGTCACTGGATTCTATTAAATTTGAAAACATGTAACTGAAAACTTTACTCAAAACTAGTAACAAATTAAAACCCCGATATGAGAGTGCTCAAGGCTAAATTCAGACTCTTAAATTTAGAAGAAGTCAAATCAATATCCACATGTATATTTTTGGCATCAATTCTTTTTCAAGCTTGTGAGTGGTGGTATTTCCAGCTTGATTGCAGTTCCGTAGTTCAGACCATGACCTATTTCCAAGCCAGTTCTGTTATTATATGAAGTATAATAATTGACGTCATCTACCTGGACTTGTCCAAAGCATTTAAGAATGTCCCACACGACATCCTTGTCTCTAAATTGGAGAGATATGGATTTGATGGATGGACCACTCAGTGGATAAAGAATTGGCTGGATAGTCACACTCAGAAGAGTTTCGGACAATGGCTCCATGTCCGAGTAGAGACCACCGATGAGTGACATTCCTCGGGGGTTGGTATCGGGGCCGGTACTATTTAACATCTTTGTTGGTGACATGGACAGTGGGATCGAGTGCACCCTCAGCAAGTTTGCTGACGACACCAAGCTGTGTGGTGTAGTCAACACACGGGAGGGAAGGGATGCCATCCAGAGGGACCTTGACAGGCTGGAGAGGTGGGCCTGTGAGAACCTCATGAAGTCCAACGAGGCCAAATGCAAGGTCCTGCATGTGGGTCGGGGCAATCCCAAGCACAAGTACAGGCTGGGCGGAGAATGGATTCAGAGCAGCCCTGAGGAAAAGGACTTGGGAGTGCTGGTGGATGAGAAGCTCAACATGAGCCGGCAATGTGCACTGGCAGCCCAGAAAGCCAACCGTATCCTGGGCTGCATCAAAGAAGCATGGCCAGCAGGTCAAGGGATGTGATTCTGCCCCTCTACTCTGCTCTTGTGAGACCCCACCTGGAGTACTGCATTCAGCTCAGAGGTTCCCAACAGAAGAAGGACATGGATCTGTTGGAGTGGGTACAGAGGAGGGTCACAAAGATGATCTGAGGGCTGCAGTACCTCTCCTACGAAGACAGGCTGAGAGAGTTGGGGTTGTTCAGCCCAGAGAACTTTCTAGCAGCCTTCCAGTACTTAAAGGGGTCCTACAGGAAAGCTGGAGAGGGACTTTTACAAGGGCATGTAGTGATAGGACAAGGCATAATGGCTTTAAACTGAAAGAGGGTAAATTTACATTACGTATTAGGAAGAACTTCTTCAGTGTAAGAGTGGTGAGGCACTGGAAGAGGTCGCCCAGAGAAGTTGTGGCTGCCCCATCTCTGGAATGATGAGGCTGGATGAGGCTTTGAGCAACCTGATCTAGTGGAAAGTGTCCCTGCTCATGGCAGAGGGGTTAGAACTAGACGATCTTTAAGGTGTCTTCCAACTCAAACCGTTCTATGATCCTATGATTCTATGCTGGACAGAGCAGCAAAACAGAAATCTTCCCTTTTTTATTTTCCTTTTTCTTTTTTTCCTTTTCCTTTTCCTTTTCCTTTTCCTTTTCCTTTTCCTTTTCCTTTTCCTTTTCCTTTTTCCTTTTTCTTTTTCCTTCTCTTTTTCTTTTTTCTTTTCCTTTTTCATTTTTTTCATAAGAACATTTTCTTTAGGAATTAATTTCATTTAAAAGACTATAAAAATCCATTCTACTATGCTACATATTAATTTAGTTTTCTAATGATACATCCGATGTTGCAAGTGTTTGCTTCTCTTTACCCTATATCTGGCAATTGGAGATGACATGACATATTCGTAGCAACATCAGTGGGGTATATTATTAAACCCACTGTATTTTTTTTATATTCTACTACAACTGAAGCCTATTACAACATAATGGCTTCCTCCTCAAATATAATTTTTGAAAAATTACACTGTATATTTGTGAGGAAATGTGTACTTAAACCAGTTCCTGTCTTGCACAAGCACCTGGGACAACTGCAGGGTGGTGAGTGTGCTGAGGGCCAGCACAATATCACATGACAGGGGAAAAACAGCTTTATGATCTTGAACATATTTACAGCTAGTGGCAGGACACTGATTGGCAGCAGGCCAGTGAAGTGCACTATTTTATGTGATGTGGTAACATATACTGGCCTTGTTAAGAGGGCTGCTTGGAGAGGTGCTGTTACAGGAACTAGTGCATAGAGACCTTTGCTCAAATGAATGGCTAGATGGCAATTTTACGGCAAACAACAAAAGGCTGAAGACTACATTATTAAATCTAATTCATACAGACTGATCATGATACTGTTCTGACCTTTTTCCTTTTATGTACTAAAATAAAGACATAGTTTCATACATCTCAGATCTCATTAACCCTTTAGCTGCTGGAATTAAATCCCATATAATTTGGACTTACTATACCTCACTAAACTGTTGGCAGTGTCAGGATCTTGTGCCGTTACTGTGCCAACAGCAGTCCCGATCTTCGCATTTTCATAAACTTCCATGACATAGGAAGGCATAGTGAAGAGCGGCGGTTCATCCACATCACCAACAATGATCTTCAACATTGTTACATCTTTGAATGGTCCCAAGTGCGAAAAGCGGAAATCGAGGTGAGTATTTGCTCCTTCTATATTAAGCGTATATGATTTCTTTTTTTCATAGTTGAGTGGCTGTTGGCAGAAAAAAAGATTTATCAATGCCATGCTGTGCTTCAGTTTAGCCTGCTAACAAGCTAACTACATCTTTTTCATTTAACTTAAACCACATTCTTTCATGTTGCTGGAAAGGGACAGAACTATGTTTTGGCAGCCACTGCCATACCTTGTAAGTAAAA